CTGCCCACTCTCACACAGTGCCTCCCAAGCAGGCTGGACCCAGCTGACCTGTTGTGTCTTTGGGGTCAAGCCCAACTCTGAGCCTTTCTAGGGCACACATACTCCCTCCTGGCTGATAGTGGCCCATGTTTCTGGGCCTGTTGAGGCTGAGTGGGCTCACTTCATGGCCCAAGAGCAGTAGCTGACCCTGTCGTGGGCTTGGTCCTGAAGACTCTGTGAATGAGGACAGGATGGTCTCTGGAACTGAGACCTCCTTGGTGCTTAGGTGAGGCTGTTTCAGTTTCCCTCCTCTTCCTGGCTTCACTTTCTCAGTTGTGCAATGGGAACACTCACCCACAGCTTCTTCCATCAGACCTTGCCCATCCAGCCAACAAACTCAGGAAGTCAGGGCCTTCCCTGTAGCCCTGTGAGGATAAGCTTGTGTCCCTGATGAGGTACAGTGACTAGTGAGGGTAAGGGGGAGTTACGAAGTGAGTCATGGACAATGGGGGAGAAGTCATAGATGTTGGGGGTCGTAGAAGTTTGGGGTCATCGAAAATGCAGAAGAGGCCAGAGAACAAAGGGGATGGGAGTCAAAGGATAGCTAAGGGAAGGGAAATATTCACAAAGGTGGGTATCAGGAGGACATCTGAGAAGAGGGGAATGGTAACACCAGATCCTGGATGGGGACAGCAGGGATCAGCGAAACGAGGCCTCTTGAAGGGAGGTCACAGGGAAATTCCCATAGTGCCAATTCACAACAAAATAGCAGACCGCTACTGCTTTGACCCCATGCCCAGAAAAGTTCAAAGAGCAAAGTTTACCCAGTCAGCTACCAGGCATATAATGATGGTCATCACAACTTCCATGAGTATTGCATTTTAAGCAGCCTGTGGAAATACTTTCAGGGTTTTTTGGTTTTGTTTTGTTTTATAATCTCAGGTCACTCCCTAAAAAGATAGTGGAAATAAATTTGAATAAACAAAACAGGTTTGCTGAAAATAAAACCATGACTCCTAACCTGCTCTAGTTAGCCTGCTTCCACGAGGCCTGTCAGCCAGTGCTCCACCTGTGACTGAGTGAGCAGTACCCAGCATGTACCAGGCCAGTGCAGAGGGCTACCGGAGGGCTGTGCTGAGAGGGAGAGGAGCAGAGATGCTGCTGAGGGTGGAGGGAGGCCAGGCTGCCAGGTCTGGGGCTGGGGGCCAGCTGGAGCGAGAAACTGGGATTCCAGGGGATGGCACAGGTGAGGGGGCAACCCAGATTAGGTGAGAACAGTTCTCTCATTAGCCTTTTCCTACAGGTGGTTACATTCTTGGCAATGGTCATGGGAACCCACATCTCCAGTCTGCGGCTGCAGAAGGACTGCAGCCTCTGGCCCAGCTGCTGCTCCAGCAAAGGGCAGGACCTCCACGAGGAGTGGCTGAAGTGGAACACTGTGCCTGTGCCTCCCTCGGAGCCTGCTAGCCTCCCCCACCACCCAGAATCCTGCAGAGCCAGCGAAGATGGACCCCTCAACAGCAGGGCCATCTCCCCCTGGAGATATGAGTGAGTCTACTGCCCCTCCCGAATACCTGAATATGTTTTCCTGTGTGTGCTGGTTAGGGTACACGTGAGGGACGAGGGAAGTTCCAGCTTACTTTCCCATTTTGATCTCAGAGAGGTCTGTAGTGAGTCCTAGCTCTGACTCTCACTGGATGACCTTGAGTCAATTATTCAAGTTTTTAAGACTCAGGGTTTTTTTTTTTTTGACACCTGTAACATGATATATTGTCCCATAGGCTAATGTGCAGATCAAATGAAATAATGTATATAAAAGTCTGTATTTATGTTGGTTTTCTTTTTTCTTTTTTATATATTTATTTTAACCACTAAACCACCAGGGTTCTCCTTTTCTTTTTAAAAAATCCCTACAATGGCCCATGTTTTTCTGAGTAAAATATTGGAATAATGGCATGATACAGGCATGAAGCACCCCAATCCAAATGATACTGCACAGGCCATGAATGGGTTAGTTGTAAGTATACTAAGGCAGTGAAACCCTCAATTCTCGGGGACAGCTGACTGGCTGGAGCTCTGGACTGGTTATCTTTAATCATGACCATGGTTACTGTATTCTTTTGCTCAGTGTGCCACATAAATATTATAGTTCTCTATGTGTGTCATGATGTGAAAAATACTAGGAAGTGCTGAAATATGGACAATGAAGGAAAATATTAAAAACTAGAGTCAGGGATTCCAGATATCAGACTTCACTTCTTCCATCTAGTTCTGTCTTAGCATTCGGTTTGGGGATGGATGGAGAAGTTCAGTGGTGGGGAGGGATCTAGGGTGGATACTACAGGTCATGATGCTTTGGAGCGGTCTCAGAAGCTGGCTGGGTCCCTGGGCCAAATTGGATGGCACGGGAGCTTCTTAGGGAAGGCTGGGTGCCAGAGGGTTAACTCAACTGTCTTCCAGACCCCTTGCTGGGAGTCTGTGAATCCCTGAGGACCACTCAGGTGGCTTTCCCCAAAGTGTGTTCTGTATAGCACTCATCCTATGAGCTGCTTTTCAGAAAAAAGTAATGCCAAGTAAACTTGGGAAAGACTGCTCTGTCTCCTACCCCTTGGAGATTCATACTGTCATCCGTACATTAAAGTCTGCAAGAAGTCTATAGAAAATAAACCATTAAACTAGTGTTTCCCAAATTCATTTAAGCACCCAACCTTTTTCTTGCAGGGGATTTATTAGGGAAACCACTTTGGGATGTGCTGTGCTAGCTGAACCCGCTGGCCAGGCTGGTCTGTGTGGGGAACGGTCCTACAAGCTGGAGACTGTCTCCTGCCAGACTAACAGAGTCCCAGACCTGTGGGCCATTTACTTTTCAGTGTTTTTCTTCTTTCTTTCTCTTTCTTTCGTTCCTTCTTTTCTTTTCTTTTCTTTTCTTTTCTTTCTCTTTTCCATGAAATCCTTTCAGAATAAGAAGTCTTCCCATGCACTCTTATGTGTGCTTATAATATAAGCTTCCACAGTGTCTGGAAAAATATGAAGGGAACAGTTGAGCATAGCTTCCTCTGGGCTCTAGGGAGTGGGACTGGTAGGGAGACTATTAGCTTTCACTCTTTATACTCTTTTATACTTGGACGTCAGAGTGGTTTTTACTTTTGCAATCATGCTATGATAATAATAGAAAGAACGCCTAAAGGACGGGTGCGGTGGCTCATGCCTGTAATCCCAGCATTTTGGGAGGTTGAGGTGGGCGGGTCACCTAAGGTCAGGAGTTCAAGACCAGCCTGGCCAACCATGGCCAACATGGTGAAACCCCATCTCTACTAAAAATATAAAAATTAGCCGGCACAGTGGCAGGCATCAGGAGAACCCAGGAGGCAGAGGTTGCAGTTGAACCAAGATTGAGCCACTGCATTCCAGCCTGGGTGACTGTGAGACTCCATCTTAAAAAAAAAAAAAACAAAAAAAACACACACACACACAGAAAGAAAGATGACCTAAAATGTAATCACTACAATTAAGAGAACTCATGCTACAGCCCAGAGAGAAGCAGTGCTGGTTGATGGAGGCTAAGGCAGGAGCCTGCTCATCTTCCTCTTCCTCCCTCAGGGTCCCAGGACCGGTTGGAAAGCACTCTGTCACCTGCTAACCTCATTTACAGGGGAAAAATTAATCAAGAGAGGAGGGAGGTGACTTGTTCAAAGTTACACAGCAAGTGGGTGCAGATCTGAGACAAGAGGCCAAGGCCCCAGATGCACTATTTTCTTCCTCTGTTACTCCCACGCCACCCCATCCTCTGTTTCTGGCCCATCTCTTCAGGGCCTGACAAGTGCCACCCCCACAGGTTGGACAGAGACTTGAACCGGCTCCCCCAGGACCTGTACCACGCCCGCTGCCTGTGCCCACACTGCGTCAGCCTACAGACAGGCTCCCACATGGACCCCCAGGGCAACTCAGAGCTGCTCTACCACAACCAGACTGTCTTCTACCGGCGGCCGTGCCGTGGCGAGCACGGCACCCACAAGGGCTATTGCCTGGAGCGCAGGCTGTACCGTGTTTCCTTGGCTTGTGTGTGTGTGCGGCCCCGTGTGATGGCCTAGCTGGACTGGTTGGAGGCTGGTCCCTTTTTGGGAAAACTGGAGCCAGGTGTACAACCACTTGCCACGAAGGGCCAGGACACACAGATGCTTGGCCCCTGCAAAGGGCCATCTGGAGCAGAAGGATTCCGGGACAGGATGAGGGGCTTTGGGGGAAACCTGCACTTTTGCACATTTTGAAAAGAGCAGCTGCTGCTTAGGGCTGCTGGAAGCTGGTGTCCTGGCATTTTCTCTTAGGAAAGATTTTCAAAGTTCTGCCCATTTCTGGAGGTCACCACTTCTGTCTCTTCCTCTCTTCCCGTCTCCTGCTACCCTGGCCCAGCACAGGCACTTTCTGGATATTTTCCCCTTGCCGGAGGAGAGCCCCTCATTTTATTTGCTGGTTTGTTTACTCATCACTCAGTGAGCATCTATTTTGGGTGCATTCTGGTATACTTACTAGTCTTTCGACATGGATGATTCTGAGGAGGAAGCTGTTATTGAATGTAGAGTTTATCCAAATAAATATCTATATTTTAAAATAGCCTAATCTGTCTTTGACATCCATGGTTCCTGAACACTTCACGGTCTCCCAGCCTGTCACTTCTGCTTCCCACCATTGGCCTTCACCTCTGCCCACCCTGCCAGCTCTCTCTGCTCTCCAGAATTTCTGCTGCACCCTTTCGCCCTCTCCGGTCTCTGTCTCCCTGGCTCACCCCGAACACCAGGGTGGGGGCTAGGCCGTGCTCCCAGCATGCTGGAGAAACAGAGGCTCATTGAGGCATTGCAGCAGGCACACAGCGCCCCCTTGTCCCCCAACAATCCGCCTTTGTCCTCCAGTCCTGGCTGCTGCAGCTTGGTCCTGGGGGTGCTGCCTGGGCTGAGCTCCAGCTCCCATCCTTTCTAAAAGGAAATGGGAGAAAGAACCCGCCAAAGAAGAGGGTTAAGGTTAGGGAAGGGGGACACAAATGTCTTCAGGTTTAGGTCCCTCGGTCCTCCCAGTCCTGCCCCTGTTCCTTTACTTACGTCCCAGCTCCTCCCCGTTTCTTTTCAGACCTCCTCTTCTCCCCTTCCTTCTCCTCTGCTCCAGGCTGGGTTGGGCTCTGAGCAAGGGGAGGGATTAGAGCCTCCTCCCTCTCTGCCCCTCCCCATGTGTCTCCAGGGGGCTGGTGCGGGCAGCAGCAGAGGCAGTCTGGGCAGCTGGGTGAGGGCCCATCTGGGCAAGGCCCCCAGCGGCCGCCTTCTCTCCCAGGGCCCTGTGGGCAGGCCTCCTGCTTCACTTGCAGGTTTCTTGAAGTGCCTTCTTGCTTCTGTCTGTTTCTCCATCCTGCCAGATATCTGTTTCTCTTGCTGGGCGCAGTGGCAGGAGGGGGCCGTGGTGGGCCCCACAGAGATGCTCAGTGCTCGAGATCGCCGGGACCGGCCCCCTGAGGAGGGGGTAGCTGCAGAGCTCCAGGGCTTCGCGGTGGACAAGAACTTCCTCACCTCCCTCAAAGGCATCCTGCTGGAAACTGAGCTGGTAACAGCTGCCTCCCCAACCTGGTTCCTCCATCTCCCTGACCCCCAGCTCCTGGCCAGCCTTATGCCAGTCCCCAGCTCGCCCTTCAGCAGCCTCCCTCCCCAGGCCCTCTGGACACCTCTCCTGCCCCCAGCTGGCCCTTCTTCATCTCCTACTCCGCCTTCTTGCTGCCTCTCCATCCGGAGCTATTTACATTGCAGCAGGAAAAACTGCAGTTAGACAGGACAGCTTTTTGAGACATTGAGGGAGCATGAAACATAGAGATGGGACAGAGGCAATGCCAGCCTCTAACATGGCCACTTCTCAGCATGTCCAAGAAGCCTAACTATCAAAAAGGGCAGACTTCCTGCAGCTGCACTTTATCTGTGGCCTGCTGTCCAGGAACATCTCTTCTCAGGAAAGTATCTTCCCCTGGTTACTTAGCAAGACCACAGTGTAAACTTAAGGTCTCTGCATGTATGCCACCCTATGTCACCAGAGCTCAAGGGACCCCCAGAGTTCACTGGGCAGTATCTGCCTTCTAAACCTTCTCTCTTGGCATAGAATCAAACGCTCTGATCCTTGTCAGAGAGCTTTCAGGCATCTGGGAATGGGGAAAGCATGATGGGGCAGGGGGCGCTTCTTGGCCCCTGTGGGCACAACTCCAGGGACTGGCATTCACACTGTACCCGTGCTCCTGGGGGACACCACTCAGGTGAATTACTGTGGGATAGTGCTCCTGGGAGCTGTGTGGCTTGGCCAGACTGCTGGGGTTGCTGGGTGAGCAGAGTGGGAGGCCGGAGACTGCCCTCGATGGGCAAATGCCCTGCCATGGTGGCTCCTGACACCAGGGGAGATGGAGATGTACAGGAGTCCTTCCTTCCCTCCAAGGACAGGTGGTGGCTGCCAGCCTAGGGTAGCTCCCACACAGGGGAAGGCAAAGGCCTAGCCCCTGCCTGTGTCTCCTTCCTGGCATGTTCCACGTGCTTGGTCCTGCAGGCCCTGACCTTCATCATCTTCATCTGCTTCACGGCCTCCATCTCTGCCTACATGGCCGCAGCGCTGCTGGAGTTCTTCATCACACTTGCCTTCCTCTTCCTGTATGCCACCCAGTACTACCAGCGCTTCGACCGGCTTAACTGGCCCTGTCTGGTGAGGAACCCTGAGCCCAGCCCAGTTTGGAGCCCTTCCTTCTCTAAATGCTGCGTTTTCCTTTCCTTTCTAAGCTAGGGGGAGGGATTAGAGTCTCCTTCCTCTCCCAAGCTTCTTTCCATCTCCACACCCCCGCTGGGTTTTGCCCCGTGCTGTGTCCTGCACTCAAAGGTATGGTGTGCTTTGATCCACACCAGTTTCACAGCGGCAGGGCCACTGGTAATCAGGAAGACCATGTCCCCTAGATCTGCTCTCCCACTCAGCAAAGGTCCAGCCCCAGCCCTGGCCTGGCCTGACCCCTCTGGCTGGTGGGCTCCAGCTGCTGTCCCCTGGGCTCCAGCCTCAGTGCCTGGCTTCTGGCCATGATTGCTCTGGGTTCATCTGCTTCCACTTCCTGGGGAACAGTGTGAACGCTCTGTCTCTTGAACATGCTTCATACTGTATGTGGGGGACCCCATGGAGGGGGTTCAGAATCCCTCAGGGTCAGGCTGCTGGCTAGCCTGGAAAAGCTCAGGGTCATACCCCCTGCCTTCTGAGGTCCTTTTAACCCTGCACCCCTGGCCCCCAGGACTTCCTGCGCTGTGTCAGTGCCATCATCATCTTCCTGGTGGTCTCCTTTGCAGCTGTGACCTCCCGGGATGGAGCTGCCATTGCTGCTTTTGTGAGTTCAGCCCTTCAGGACTCCTTAGCCCCTCAGGAGCTCAGGCTAGTGCCACAGCCAGGGCCTGGGGTTCCGATTTGCACCTCCCCCCATACCTTAACCCAGTGGCCCGAGAGCCTCTGTTTTGCCATCCCCATTGCTCCTCCCACAGGTTTTTGGCATCATCCTGGTTTCCATCTTTGCCTATGATGCCTTCAAGATCTACCGGACAGACATAGCACCCGGGGCCAGCCAGGGTGAGTGCCTGTTCTCTGAGAAGAGATGCCCTCCCCGACCCTTAGCTACCCATCCTGATGTGGGTCCCTACCTGACTCCATCTTCACAGGGGACCAACAGTGACTCTGGGGCTACCTGCCTCCCAGGCCCAGCCAGCCAGAGGGGACAATGGAGCCTAGACTCGTCTCCTTGGGATTCACTGGCCCCCAAGCCCACCAAACCCCACTCCAGCCTTACAGAGATGTCGGGCCTGAGATGCCACTGGGGACTTATCCATGGAGCCTGGTGCTCTGGGATCTGGCTCCTGATGAAGCTCTGGCCAGAGGAGGGGAACTTCTGGAGAGAGGGAGGAGGGAGGGGAGGAAGCTGGGTCCCTAAGTCGTTCCCAAATTAAAATATTCAAATCCTGCTGGTGAGTCTCTTTCTTCCCCAGAAATTAGGCAGGTCAGGAATGCCAAGGAGTATTGATGGAAATGCTGCCGGAGCAGATCGTGGCCCCTCTTTAGGACAGGGTCGGAGCAGTGAGGATGTGGGGGCTAGCCAGAAGGAGCTGAAGACATCCTCCAACACAAAACTTCTACGCCATACCTCTGTGTGCAAGGCCGTTTTGTGGTATGCCTAGTGGCTGGGCATCTGGAGTTCTGTGTCTGAGAAGGCACAGCCTTCCTGATGGCCGCATCCACCACCACACCTGTTCCCACAGGTTAGCGGGCTGGAGGTGAGGCGCTTGCCTAGGGTGTGTGCAGAGCTCCCCCTCGTGGTGTGGGGAAACTTGGTCCACAGGACGAATGGAGAGGGTAGCCTGAGGCATCAGGGAAGGGAGAGATTTCCCAAAATGTGAATGCTGGGAGAGCCCGTTGGATATCAGCTGGTCCAATGCCCTCATTTCACATAAGAGAAAACAGGCTCAGCTAGGGGAGGTAAACTCATTTGTGACAGAGCTAGGGCTAGAACACAGCTCTTCTGATACCTAGTGCCTAGCGGGTGTTCCAGATACTGTACTGAGCCTCCCTGTAGCTCAGAAAAGAATGACCAACTCATCCCTCCACTGCGGGTCCACCTTCCCAGCTTGCCAGCTCCTCAGCACACATTTCCTGAGCATTTCCCATGCGCAGACCCTGTGCTGGGCGCCAGGGCCTCAGAGGTGGCAGAGGAGCCTGTCCCTGAGCATTCACAGGCCGGGAAAGAGACAAGCTGGTCAAGGGATCCCCACAGTGAACACTACGGGAAGGCTTAGGGGAGTTTGGAGCAGACACTGCCACAGCCAGGAGTCAGCCCTGCTGGGCTGAGACAAACCAGTGCAGCCGGGATGTTCCTGCCCAGCCCGAGGGGCCTAGCATGGCCTGGCTGAGCAGCTCCATCCCAGCTGATGGGCTTTCTCCTCTCGCTGATGCATGTATGTTCCTGCCCTGAAATACAATCCTTCTGGAACGCTCCTTCCAGCTGCAGGCCCCAGCTCCCAAGTCCTGCCTGAAGCCTGGATCTTGAACTCTGGTCACACTGCTCTGCTCCCTTGGTGGCAACCACTCCTCTCTCTTGGTCTTCTTCCTGCCTCCTGCTTCCTGTTCTCCTATCCTCATGTCCTGGCTCTCCATCAAGGCTGGTAGCCACTCCTGGGCTAGAACCAACAGGATTTTGTGTTTCTCTGGTCACTGCTCACTGTTCTCAGGGCTTTATGCATAGTCCATTCTCGAAATCTCAGAGGAGGGATAGAAGAGGCTCTACTGAGAGAGTCAGGGAGATGGGGTTCCAGGTGAAGGTTAAGGAGGTGGTCAGGATAGCCTGTCTGCAAAGCCCAGTGGGGAGTTGGGATTTGCTTTGTGCAGAATGGGGTCAGGACTGGTCCTGTCCCACATGCAGCTGTGTGACCCAGGCCAGACTGTCTCCAGTAAGGGCTCAGAGAGAGCAGAAATGCAACTGCAGTGTTTCCCTGCACAGGTACCTGTGCTGTCTGAGTCTGTATGAGAGCCAACATGAATGAGCAATGCCCAGGTTTGGTCCTCAAGGCGTATTGGTTTGGGCTCAGTGTTGGTTGGCCCCATAGTCTCATGGCGAGGTGCTGAACCACAAGGGGTAGGGGGAGACCCCTGGGGAAGACAGCAAGGAGGACTTCCTGGGGGTTAATTCCTAGGAGCTGACCAGAATGGAATCTCTCCCATCTCCTTTCCCATACCTTAATTCTCAGCCAGCTTTGAGCCTTTTCTGGTATTGGTGGAAAATTCATTCCAGAAAGAATGGGTGTCCTAGGACATCTTTAACTGTTGCTGCCTCAGGGGTAGGGTAGGTGGAGAGTGGCTTCAGCTTCAGGACCAAAATGCTACCTCCTACCATCTAGGATTGGCTCACCATTTTGATGCCATTGTCTTCTCCACTTTTGAAATGTCTCCCTCTCCACCCTTGTGTGGTTGACTGAGCAGAACTGGGACTCACAGCTGTCCACCTCAGGCAGGGCACCTCACTCCTCTGCACTTCAGTCTCTTTCTTTGTAAATATGGGACGCCTTGGCTCCAGCAGCTCTGATACAGGGGCTGGGGGCCTCCCTCCTCCAGGATGGACAGTTGGCAGGAAGGACAGACGAGCTCAGGCAGAGTTTGGCACTCATATTTATTATAGGTTGGCAAGAGCGAGGCTCCTAAGGCAGCATCACTCCTCATCATGCATTTTTTGCTGCAAAAAGATTAAGAGGTGTGAGGGGGCAGCTGGCAAGAGGGAGAAGGGTGCGGGGACAAATTCCTGGGGCTTTTAGAGGCCTAAGGGAGATGCCCTTGGAGGGACAGGCAGGGCCCCAAGGATCTTGGGGTCCCACTTAGATGCACTTGTGATTTAGGGGGATAGAACTGGGGCTCTCTGCAGAAGTTCCAGTCAGTGGGGGGCTGTTTGGAGCAGGAGAGTGGATTCTCAGGTTATGGGAGCTGTGGGACTGCCTACCTATAGGGCAAGCAGTGCCCACTCTGAGGGGCACCCGTGTCAGGGGACATGCTAATGTGGAAGTGACTAGTGAAACCCAGGGGAGGGACCCACCTTGGCGCCGATGTCGCGGCTCTTAGCCCGCAGCTTGTTGACCTGGGACTCGGCGATGTCCGCCCGCTCCTCCGCCTCATCCAGCTCGTGCTGCACCTTTCGGAACTTGGACAGGTTGGTGTTGGCCTGCTCCTCCTGCGGTGGGACAATGGGGATGGGTGAATGAGCTGAGATGGGCTTCAGGATTCTCAGCCTCTCAGCTTGAGGTTCCAGCTCCCTGTCCCTGAGACACTCATGCCTCAGGCATATTCCTGCAACACCCTTTCCAAGGGTATCCTGCACCCGCCTTGCACCCTCCTCGAACTTGTCCAGCATTCGGAGTCCTTCACAGCCATCCACTGCCTAAGACAAATCCAGTTTTGCTGCACCTGTCCCGGCCCCTGGATTTCTGAGCAGGCATGCTCATCAGCAGCTCACATCCACCCAGACGTCTTCCCTATTGCCCTATGCCTGGCTGGGTCCCCTTCCAGGCCTAATTCCATTGCCACCCTCCTGCCTTCAGCTTTGACTGCCCCATGTCCTGCACTAGCATCTAAACTGCCTTCTGTTGGGTTACGGTGTCTGAGGCTTGTAGGTGGTGCCTTTGTTAACTCAGAACACCTGACACAGCTCTGAGCATACCAGATGTGTAAAATTAATGTTTGAGACTTAAAGTTTATAGCAAACTCTTTGTCCAGGCCCCTCTGTGGGAGATGCTCATTGGTTCTCACACACGGTAGGTGTGTTGATGAGAAAGGAAAGAAAACCTTGAACTCACCGCCTCCTCGGCCTGGCGCTTGTAGGCCTTGACCTTCAGCTGCAGCTTGTCCACCAGGTCCTGCAGCCGCAGCAGGTTCTTTTTGTCTTCCTCTGTCTGGGGGTGGGAGGGTGGGAGAAGCTAGTTTGGAGGAGGAGCAAATGCAATCACTGTTCCCTCTTCCATTATTTTACTCTTCTCTTGCCTTTACTGCCCCTCCCTACAATGGTCCAGATCAAAGAGGTGGTGGGGAAGATTCTCCGACTCTACTGTAGGCCAAAGGGGTGATGCAAGGTTGTCAGTCAGGGATTCACAAAGCAATGAAGGCTGCAGTCTGAAAGCCAGAAGTTGAGGGAGGGGATCAGAACCTCATGGAATTCCTTAATACGGTAATATAAAGGCACCAGGTCTGTTCCAGCTCCAATCTGGTGGATAAAGCTCCAACTTGGACCTACACGGATCCTCTTGGCCGGTAGTTCTTGACCAGAAGAGGAATAATGAAGAATGCAGAAAGAAGGCAGTATTATCATAATCCAGATTATTCTCATTCTAATATATTGTATTGGGCCAGAATTCAGGCCTCAGGATCACTGGCTCCAACGTTACGCCATCCTTCCTATCTGTTTATCACTGTATGTGCTAGGATGCCACTTCTACTTCTGCCCACAAATCACCCTGTGGTTCTGTATCTGTAATCTTTCTTGTGCCTCTGGTATCCATCTATCAAATGGAGTGACACCCTCGTCTCCTCAGCCTTTTCTTCCCAGGGACACTGAAAATAACAGGCCACGGGCACAGTTCTGAGCTATGCAGATGGAGGTCTTAGAACATTCTGGGTCCTTTTTCTCTGTGGCCTTCTCTTTGGGTGCTAGAAGTTCCATGGAAGATTTCCAAGTATTTTTCCCTCGCCTGATTCTTACCCCCATAGTCCGAGGTGGAAAGACCCTTTGGACTCTTCATGGTAGCACTTAAAGTTACTTTTTAAAAAACCCAGGGAAAGGCTAGTTAGAAGAGTTTTTAGGAAGTAGAAGTAGATTCTTCATTTTCTGGAAAAACTCATAAACTCAAATCAAACTGACTGCAGAGCATGGAAAGAAGGTTAAATCTACCCACAGCGTCTTAGTGGGGAGGTGACAGGAACCCTATGTGGGCCAGGCAGTGGGGCCAGAGAAGCCCCTTCCACATCTACTTCTGGCCTCTGGCGCCCCCGCACCTGGTAGGTGAGCTCCTTGATGCGCCGCTCGCTCTTCCTCATGCCCTTCACTGACTCCGCGTTTCGCTTCTGCTCGGCCTCCAGCTCATTCTCCAGCTCCCGCACCCGCGCCTCCAGCTTCTGCAGCTGCTTCTTGCCGCCCTTGAGTGCGATCTGCTCGGCCTCGTCCAGCCGATGCTGCAGGTCCTTAATGGTCTGCTCCATGTTCTTCTTCATGCGCTCCAGGTGGGCGCTGGTGTCCTGCTCCTTCTTCAGCTCCTCTGCCATCATGGCGGCCTGTGTGCAGGAGAGAGGTGGCAGGGAACATGGGCCCAGGGCCGGGGCTGGGGCCTCTTCCCACCAAGGATCTCTTCTCTTCCGTCAGGCCCTCAAACCCACAGAACTGCACAGTTGACCTGGCGTTACAGCACAGTGGCCTGGCCTGGACCCAGGGCCTTG